TTCTTATTGGCTAATGAACTCCAAGAAGTATAATATAATATCAAATAGTTTTTAACTTCTTGTTCAACAATGATGAATTTAACCCCCTAACAATTTTGTCCAAGAAAATATATTGATTTATCTTAACCCTTTATTTAAGGGAAATTGAGGGGAAAGGAGACAATATCATTTGATTTCCCTTCCCTTTTTTTCCTTTCTCATTCTTTTAGTTGTGTAGTTATAATAAATTTTAAAAAAAAATTAAAGGGAAGCTACTCCCATCCCCTCCATTTTTTTTTATCTAAATAAAGAAATTTATCCCTACCCTCACCTCAACTCCCAATAAATCAGATAAGCTACAACGAATGTCATAAAAAAGGACTGCAAAAATCCCTAACCCTTTGCAAGGGCAGGGTAAAAGATCGAAGGGAGGAATCATCCTATACTGGGCTATTCACAAAAAAGAAATATATCTTGGATTATCAAAAGTATATGTACAATTTATACTATTAAATAAAAATAATCTTATGATATTGGAGGTTGTTAACTTATTTAATTGGTCTTGTTCTGAAATCTAGACAAACCATTCTAAAGAGAATTCTTGGGGAAATAAAAAATTGAAAAAATTGTCTTGGGCTTATGGCCATCACAAAGCGAAAACTCTGGGCTTAACCCAACTAAATGGCAAAGCGAAGTGGGCTAATGCAATCCAAGTAGAAACCGGAAATACAGTTTACAATCTCCCTCCCTTCAACCCTGTAAAACCCTACAGCTTACTGCTACTGCATGAGCTGCTGCTTCAAGGTTTTTCAAGCTCTATTTACATTTTTCACTTGTAATTCCAAATTTCCAATCTTTACCTTTTGATTTTTCATATATCATTCTTATTCTTCTTCTTAAGTACACGCTTGTTTTCTCTCCTCTTTTGCGGGTGAATATCAGGCAGTGTTTTCGAATCTGTCACTGGAAGTATCCAAGTATGTTCGACGAAAGCAAGTTTGATGTTCATCTGAAACTGTGGGCACTAAGAATCCCTCGAGAGCTCTGCAAGATTGCCACTCGTTTACTAAATGGGTATGCTAGCTTTAACATCACCTTCATAAAGCTTAAGCCTTTGCTAGTGAATTTATAGTGGTTTGTGAATCTGAATTGTTTTCATAGTGATAATTACCTAATCTTAACTTATTTGGTTGTTGAATTTGAGGGTATATTGTCTTTGGATGTCTGCAATGTTACAAAGTCGTGGGTTTTTTAGTGCTAGTATGCTGTCAATTTTAGCAGAAGTTTGTAGGATCCTACATGGGTGGGAACCTATTAGGGTAATGGATCTTAGTAAAGGAATCTTTTTGGGAGGTTCTTTAAATTGTCTTTGGTTAGCTGTGTCAGTGAGGGATTCTTTCAAGTGCTTATCTAAGTTATCTGTCTTTCTATTAAAATTATATTGGCTGAGTCAGGGATGTTGAATTTACAGAAGCTTCTGCCTTTCCATATTTCCATAGTCCAATTATTGTATGTTGACAGTTGCTTGTATTTTTAATTTCTGTTTCTAGATACTTGCTAGACAAGGCGCGTGTTAAACCTATTACTGAAGATCCAACAAGTGAAAAGAACCGTTATATGATATTATCTGAAAAGGTTCAAAATCCTGGTAAGAAGTCTTAGCCTACATTTCTTATGTGATGTAAATAAGAAATGGCTAATATTTATGAATAGATAACTGTTCAGAAATAAGTTAAATCATGAGTCAACTGTCAACTTTTATATTTTTCTGTACTGAATCTCCACCTTTAGATTGTCAAATTATTGATCCTTTTATAGTTTCTTAAAGCATGGCTTCTCAAGTAGTACTTGCATCTTTTTCCTATAATTCTGTTTATTGTTGTTTCTGGGACATTCTTTTCTCATTTTGGATGTTTTCACTTTGTACATAGAACAGATCTATCAGATATTCCAGATGAAAAACTAGAAGAACTTAAGAAATTATGCAAGATTGAAATAGTTCCCTATTCATTGACACTTGGATATTCTTACTGGACTGCAGGTCAGTTTGTTTAGTTTTCTTAATTCTAAGATGTAATCTGTGTCTTCTTACCACATAACATGTTGTTTAGATGCTTTACCATTGTCTTCTATTTCTTTTTGAAATCAAAACTAAGTTAATACAAAATTGAAGTTCAGGTTCATGTTTTGTTGCTAGAATGAACTTTATATTTGTATACTGACAGTCAAGACGTTCTTATTTGGGCAATTGTTGTATTAGGAAATGACGATTCTGTTTTCACATTGTGGCTTTGTGCCTAGAGATAGCAATAATTATAGGGCTTGGGCCTATTCATTTACTATTTTTCTCTAATCTGCATTATATTTCCTATTAAATGGTATAATATATATTTCAGCTTTTGTCCTATATTTGAAGTTTGAACATTTGGTTTACTCTTCATAGATCACATATTGAAGCAGATTCTGCCTCCTGGAGCAGAGGTGCCTTCATCTTTTGAAACAGTAGTTAAGTATTCTAAATATGCTTTCTCTCTAAGCTTCTTTTTCATTGCCTTTTCCATTTAGTTTACATTAATTTTACACACGATGACTGCTAGTTAATTCTAAATATGCTTTCTCTCTAAACATATTTTTCAATCACTGCTTGTTACTATCTATCTATGAGTCCATGGTTGTTCTAAATGATGGTTCAATTGATAAGTGACTAACATTTTGTCTTACCTTGCAGGTCATATTGCCCATCTAAACGTTCATGATGACTTACTTCCATTCAAGGATGTGATTGCAAAGGTCATTTATGATGTAAGATTCTGTTTGTCACTAACCTGAATGGATAATTTTGTTCTCTCTAGATTTATTCTGTAAATAAGAGCAGAATGTTACCTGATGGAAATAGATAAGTATAAATTACTTGTTCCAAAGACATTTCCTTCTTTCTGGATTTCCTTTCAGGGAAAAAGAAAGAAAAAAAAAAAAAAAAAAGAGGAGAGAAAAACTGTTATAAAATGTCAGTGAAGTGGAAGATGTGGTTTTCAATTGTTGAAGCCATTAAGTTACAATTCTTCTGGATTGAGATCTATAACTTCAACCCTAAGAAAGACAGAAATTTTCTTTCTTATTGAATATGTTTCTGCACTTTTTTCTTTCTCACTTTTCTTTCTCACTTTTCTTTAAAAACTTTTTTTCATCTTTGTCATGGAGCTTTTTTGGCAAAAATGTGTCTCATAATTGATATAACTTCACCGTTTAGTCAGTTTTTTCTTTTTTCCTATTTCATTGCTTTTCCTGGTTGACTGGTTCTTTTGCTGATAATTTATTCTCTATAATCAGAAAATAATTTGTATGCTCTTTGGTATATGCAGAATATAAAAGCATTGTTGCTATTAAAATATCATTATAAACACTTTATTTCCAATCTTCCTGCACCAATGGTCCTTTTAATTCACATCCTGACAGAAAAATTATCCAAGAATCAGAACTGTTGTTAACAAAGTTGGAACAATTACAAATGAGTTCCGAGTCCCAAAATTTGAAATTTTGGCAGGAGAAAATGATATGGTGACAGAAGTGAAACAGTATGGAGCAACATTCAAGCTAGATTACAGCTTGGTCTATTGGAATTCAAGATTGGAACATGAACACATAAGGCTTGTATCCTTATTCCAGCCAGGGGAGACCATCTGTGACATGTTTGCTGGTATTGGACCTTTTGCCATCCCAGCAGCACAGAAAGGATGCTTTGTATATGCAAATGATTTAAATCCAGATAGCGTTCGTTATTTGAAAATCAATGCAAAAATCAACAAGGTTGATGACCGTGTCTATGCATATAATATGGATGCTAGGAAATTTGTTTCTCAATTGATGGCAGCACCACTTTCTGAAAATGATTCAGAATCAAAGGTTTCAACAAATGCCTATGATAGCTGCAGCACAGAGACTGTTGAAGAAACAAAGGCGAATGAGTCAGGGCAGGCTGGTATTGGTTGTTAAAATTATATTTTTCTCTACCAACTTCTTGTAAGACCTGCTGTTAAGTTTTATCAGAGTTTTCCATTCCTGTGCAGTTGAGACAAAAGAAATGACTGGTAATGATGGTGAAGTTGAAATGGAGGGTATGCAGAATTCTAATAGGAGCCTGAATGCATCTACAGTGATAATAAAGAGATCTTCAGATAGTCTCAAGGAAGGTATGATAACTACCTCTTTCTGGCATCTGGTCATCTCCCAGGCACAAGCAGTGATGATACCTTCCCTTTTTTCTTTCTTTCTTTTTTTTTTTTTTTTTAATCAGCAAAGTAAGCCTTATTATTAGAAATAAAGAGATATTACAAAGTGAGGGAGGCTAAGGGAGCCACCTTATGGGAAAATAATACCACACACATGCCATTATCAATGCGATTATGTTGTTATTACTAATTTAAAATATTAACAGTTGAAAATTTTCCTTTTATCTATTTCAGGAGAAATTGGAAATGCTGTCAAGAGTGGTAGGAGAAAAGGAAGCACTAATAAGAGGATTAGAGCCTCTGTAATCCCTAAAGCTAAGACCTGGGAGCATGTTGATCATGTGATAATGAACCTTCCGGCTTCTGCCCTACAATTTTTAGGTATACAAGTTTTCTTCTATGATCCTTTTTGCCTCCATCTGTAAGAGACCTATTGAGCATGTTAGTCTGTTGGTTGTTATCCTATTGGAATAACTCTTTTTGATTAATCAGACTTGTAAGTCTATGGTTATCATTCCCTGCATATTTTTTGACATTATTTATCCTTATTTTTTTCTTGAATAGTGATGCCATGTTTTATGATTCTCTAGCACCATTTGGTCTAATTTCCAAATTTCTCATGTCATTAATGGTGTCAGTGCTTGCTCCTTTTATTGGAGAGGATGTTTCTTGTTTATCTTGTTCTTCATTCAGAAAGATTTTTTTTCCTTGAGTGATAATTTCATTTCCTCACTTTTAGGAAAATGAGCTAGCTAACAAACCCTAGAATAAAACTTTATCATGTATCTATCAACAGTCCATATGATACTTGCCGTGCCTGTTTCATATGATGACTAACATTCACCTGTATTGTCTCATTCTGTTTGTTTACCAAGAAGATTTAGTTAGAAGTGATATATTTTAAATTTTTCCTTCAGATGCATTTAGGTGTCTAATCTTGAAGAAACATTGGAAGGGACCTCTCCCATGGATTCACTGTTATTGCTTCATGCGAGCAAATGAAACTGAAGAATTCATAATTTCAGTAAGTCTTATCTTGCAGAATTTTGATTTAACTTTCAGTTTATTAGTTTAGATTATATACATGGGATAACCTGTTTAAGATCTTTAGATTTGTTTGTCTTTGATGCAATAAATCTATGTTGCATTTATCAAATTCTTTGCAGGAAGCAGAGTCTGCCTTAAATGCGCACGTACAAGATCCATTATTTCATAGGGTTAGGGATGTTGCTCCCAACAAGGTATTAGACCACAAATGAAAGCTTCTTTTTGTTGTTTACCTCAAACTTGTTCTCTTTTTCATTTTTTAAAGTTGAAATAATGTTCCCATAAAAAAAATAAAAAAGTTGATGTAAAGCACAAAGCATCTTCCAAGCCTTTATTATTATGATTATTATTATTATTATTATTATTATTATTATTCTCCTTTTCCTTTTTCTTAGAGCTATGGTTTATTGTGCAGGCTATGTTTTGCTTAAGCTTTAGGTTACCAGAAGAATGCTTCAATGAAGATGCTGGTGAGAGATTTACATCTGTAACACCATAACAGTTTGACTGTACTGGATTCTGAGCATTAACTTAAAGGAACTTTGCCCCCTTCTTTTTCATATCTGGCTGTTCAAGCTGTCCTGGATATTTGGATCTCTACACCCCAATGTCAACTTCTCAACAATGATGATTGGTTTTTGCTCTCCCCCACAACCCCCTTTTTTTTTCCTAAAAAATAAGGGATGTTTTAACTTGAAATTGTTTTATGAGTACATTGGTAAAGTTTATTTTTATTCGTCACTGAATTTTTGATAAAGTACAGCTGGCAATTCTAACTTTCCAGAGCCATTGCTTTCCTGGCATGAGCAGTGCACGACGAAAATGCATTTTTGAGCGGTAGAATTGCTGTGATCCGGGTATATAAGTACGAAAATGTAAATATTGGTTTTAAATTGTACAAACTTAAGTAAAAAGATACTTTTAAATTATGTTTTCTAAATAAAATTTTATTAACAAACTAAATTACTTTAATTTTTAAAACAAAAATGAAATTATTTTAATTTTTTTATATTTTATTAAAATAATATAATTTTATTTTTTTTACTAAATTTCTTTGTAAATCCGATTGATAAATATTAATCTTGTATAATTATATCTCTATAACAGACTTTCATGCATCCAATGTTAAGTATCTAAAGGCAGGTTACTAAAGTCTGGCAGGTTCTACCGTGCTAAGAGACATTTGGAACCACCGATATTTCGCCAATCCAAGAATTCCATTAGTGTGGTTAGCAAATTTTAGTCTTCTCTTTGGTGATAAAATGTTGATACACTTGCAACATCATCTCGTAATAGTCACAACATCAAACTAGTGGACACATAAATCATGAGCCACTGCAAAAAGAGCTAAATCATAATTATGTCATGTATGATTATGAAATCTTATTGTGAGATAACATTGCGGGTGTATCAGCTTTATATTACCAAAAGGAGATCAAATTTGCTAATCTCATTAGAAGAATTCTAGTATTTGTGAGAAGCTACAGGTTTAAAATGCCACTTGGAACAATAGTGCTTGTCGGATTGAAGTTTATTTGCTTTTACGAGACGCGTGAATTGATATGCATATACTAGCTAAGCGCCAACTTGATATTTTGTAAGACACTGTTAAGATAACATTGTTGGCAGATCATTTTCCTCAGTGATATTTATCTGATCTCTCTTTCCTTGGTGTGAATTCTTCCCCATTGGTACTGGGCTTAAGCTTTGGCACTAAAAGAGATAAAAGTTGCCTACGTAGAAGAGCAATAAGTAAACAAAGGGATGGCCCAATCCAATGGAATCACAAAATTAACACGGGGGATGAGGTTGTAAAGTTTGCATTCAGATAGGGATTCTCATCAATTCTTGTTCAAAAGGTGGTCAAGGCGCGACAAAATGCCATAAATATTATTGGAGGCTTTGTTCATTTTATTTAACTAAAGAGGGCAAAAGCGAGGGCACTCTTCTCCATTTTTGGTACTTGGGTTGGGAATAAGCAAACACTAAATCTGAATTTTACTAGAAGCTTGCATTCATCTCAAGAAGGATTTGTGAATCTTAACTCAAAAGTTTAAATTAGCACCAACTTTCAGCCTTGATTGTGTTTGATACTAAACTTTTAGGATCAACACCTATGTCTCCTAGATCACTGCTCAATAAACAAATAAGTAGATTATAGAACCAATCCCACGAGCTTTTGAGCCAAATCTACTAAAGTTGGAGCTAGCTAGGTTTGTTTAAGTAAATAACCTTATGATAAAATTCTATCTCGGCTTCTTTGCTAAACGAATCAACCGAGCACAAGGTTGCTCATGAATGGCTTGGCTCGTTACTCTTGGCTTGTTACTCTTGAGTCACTATTATACTTTTTTCTTTAAAGATTATGAAACGACTCAAGTCAATATAAACCTTCGCTGCTCACGTAAAATGCCCATTTTAGAAGAACATAACATAACAATTTTGTGTGTGTGGATATCAACAAACTGAACAACTGAATTAAGGAATGAATCTTTCATTCTTTTTCACCGTTTATCTCCATTAAAAATTCTCACCTTACCCATTAAGGTTTCTAAAAGCTACCTTTTGGAAAAAGAGATACAAGAAACCTCCTCACTTTCTCCAGCTCCATATCTCTATAAATTTTCAGCAGATTTCCTTCCACATTCCCCTCTCCCACTCCTTTGCATCCCCGATCATTCTTGATTCCTTCGGCCCCTTAATTTCCAATATCTTTCCCCTTCTCTCCCACTCTTTTGGATCCCCCAATCATTCTTGATTCTTTCTGATCCCAAGAAAAACTCTGAAATACCCATAAAAAATTCGTCCAAGAGAAACAAAATGGCAAGAGAAAGATTAGACCTTTACCTTCCCTTGGTACCGTTCTTTCTTGTGTTGTTTTTTGTGGTAAGCGATGCAAAGAGAACATCCACTTCTGTTGGAGTGAACTGGGGAACACTGGCAACGAACCAGCTTCCCGCAGAGAGAATAGTAAAGATGCTAAAGGATAATGGGTTCAAGAAGCTCAAGCTTTTTGAGGCCGACGAGAAGATCTTGGCAGCTCTTATTGGGACTGATATTGAGGTGATGCTTGGAATACCCAACTACTTCTTGAAGGAATTCGCTAATAAACCTGAGGCTGCTGCTGCTTGGGTAGACAGCAATGTCACTGGTTGGTTCTATGATGGTGGTGTCAAAATCAAGTGAGTATCATTGTTCTTTCCGTTCTTTTCCCCTTGATTATGCCATCTTCCTATCGATTTTCCCTCCTGATTTTTCACCATTTCATCTGTTTACAAATTGTCAAGCAATTCCTGAGTTTCTGAGCAATCTTTGAAGGGGAGAATGGAGAAATTGTGTGGTTTTAGGGTTTTCCTTGACTATTTGATCTTGCAGGTACGTTGCTGTAGGAAATGAGCCGTTCCTCAAGGAATACAATGGAATCTATCTGGAATCCACATTACCGGCACTGAGAAATGTACAGAGAGCCATTAACGATGCGAGTCTTGCGCAAAAGGTCAAGGCCACAGTCCCCTTCAATGCAGACGTTTATGAATCACCGGGCGTAAACGCCTTGCCCTCAGCCGGTGACTTCCGGTCGGATGTCAAAGACGCTGCCATTGAAATAATCCAGTATTTGTCTCTCCACGATTCCCCTTTCACCGTCAATATCTACCCTTTCCTCAGTCTCCAAGGAAACGATCATTTTCCTATTGAGTTTGCTTTCTTTGATGGCGAAAGCACACCGATTAAGGACGGTGACCGGATTTACACGAACGTGTTTGACGCGAACCTGGACACTCTGGTTGCGGCCCTGGACAAAAACGGATTCTCCGATGTGACGATTATCATCGGAGAAGTTGGTTGGCCGACAGATGGAGACAAAAACGCGAACACCCAGAATGCAAGGAGATTCAACCAGGGTTTGCTCAAACATGCTATGAGCGGGAACGGCACCCCAGCTCGGAATGGCTCAATCAACGTCTACCTCTTTAGCCTAATCGACGAGAACGCCAAGGATATTAGTCCCGGAACCTTCGAGAGGCATTGGGGAATCTTTGAGTTCGACGGAAAACCCAAATACGAACTGGATTTAACCGGAAAGAATGGAAACAAAGGTCTAGCTGCGGTGGAGGGGGTGAGGTATCTGAGCAAGAAATGGTGCGTTTTCAACCCAGACGCGACTGACCTCGAGGATTTACCAGATAGCATCAGTTATGCCTGCGCTCACTCCGATTGCACTGCGTTGGGCTACGGCTCCTCCTGCAATCACCTGAGCTCCGAGGGAAATGCCTCGTATGCCTTCAACATGTACTATCAAGTGAATAACCAGAACGATGGGAACTGTGATTTCACTGGGTTGGCGACTGTGACGGGTGAGGACCCGTCGGACAAGGGTTGCCAGTTTCCGGTGATGATATCTGACGGTTCTCCGGGGATCCTGCGTCGAGGAGCTTTGGGTGTTCTTCTGAGGATAGTTGGGGGATGTTTCGTGTTTTTGCTTCTGTGTCTTAACTAACGATTGCATTTTTTTTTCTTTTTTAAATCTTCTACTCGTAATTCCGAAAATTTTTAGTAATTTTAGTCGCATTTTCATTTTCATTTTTTTTCCTTAAATCATGGATCGTCCTCAACATTTTAACCATAAAGGGTTCAACTCTTGAGGCCATGAATTAAAAAAGTAATTTTCTAACATAACTAAATTAACGTAGGAGGTACATTCTTATTGTCTAATAAAAAATTATTTTTGAATTTATGTAAAAATTAATGTAGAAATATTTTAACAATAAATACCAAAACCATATATGTAAATGGATCTAAAAAGCTTATATTTTTAAATAGAGGGAATATTGAACAACTAAAAATTAAGTTTTATTTAATCAACTTTTATATTTTTATACAATTTAATACAAAAAATATATTGATAACACTTTTACCTTGTTCTCTTCATAAACATCTTTAATCTAATTATAGTGTGATATTCAAAAATATAACTTTTGAAGTATTAGTGGGAATCGAATTCTCAACTAACTATATTCAAGTTCTAAAAATTTGAGAACAAATCACTTGCTCTTTTTTCTTTTTCGTAATTTGCACTGAAAAACATTAAAGCCTTTGTTTGGATTAAATTTTTTCCCTCCTGACCTTTCCTCTCGTCTTTGTTTCCATCCAAGTATCCAACCGAACAACTTTTATTAGTTTGATTTTAATTTTGATAACTAAACTTTTTCCTTATACACTATTTAGTGCCTAAACAATTTTTAAGCTATTTTGTCCCTTAACTTGAAATTGTGCAACTTTTTAAAATTATCCTTAGTGGGTGTTTGGTGCAGCTGGTCGGAAGACCTTTTGAAGTCCAAAAGGTGCAGCTGCACCAAACACCCTAACTTTTAAAATGAGCTTCAGCTCCCAGGAAGCAAAAGTTAGCTTCCACCTTTTGGAAATTGAGAAATAAGGAATTTGAAGCTTTTGGGGGAGCTTCCAGCTTTCAATTAATGAAATTGACATGTTATACCTATTTTACCCTTATATCTTAATAAATTTATGACTAAAACCACTATATATACCTCCTCATTTATATCCCAAACCCATTTTCCCCTTATCTGCCGATTTCCTATACCTCCTCATTTATAACCCAAACCCCTTTTTTTCCTTCTCCATCTCCCGATTTCCTCTGTTCCATGGCCACAGCGATCCATTGCCGTAGCGACAAGATCAACACCTTCGACCTCCTCCTCTTCCTCATCCGTTACCACGATGGTGACAGTAGAAAACACTCCAACTGCGACACAACCTCTGAAAACCCTTGTTCTCCAACTGCGCTCCAGGAAGAAGAAGGTGACCTGGAAAGAGGGGACCGTGGATAATGAGTTTATGAACAAGAAGAGTTCTAAGAAATGCTGCATCTTCCACAAACAAAAACCCTTCGACGAAGACGACAGCAACGACGATCATCACCATAACCACCGCTCTTGTGGTCATGATCGCGAGGATGACTGTGGGCCCAGTACCAGCTCCGGCAACTGATTGATTAATTCGGTGACTTTTTTCGATTTACCGTCTGCCCTCGTGGGATCAATTTGAGAACTAGAAGTTGTCCGACATATGATTTTGGATCTTTATTTTTGCCGTTTCGATTTACTTTCATCAGTTTTTCCGCTGTTTGGGTATTTCTAAGTTCTAATTGCAATTGCATGTGCTCATAGTCTTTTGGTGTGAACTCAATGGTCCAATTGCCTATGGTTTTATGGGTATGTTGTTTATTAATTATGCCAGAAGGGGAATGTTAATTTCCATCTCTATATCTACATGTTCTTCATCTTGAAAATTCAGGAATTTTATTTGGTGACTCACCAACATCAGGAAGTCAAGGCTGAAGCAACCATCAAAGATTGTTTTTTGTGCTTATTTTCTCGTTGCATTGTTTTTCTCCTCTCTTCTTATGTGTTGTATGATAAAGCAAAGAGGTAATTAAAATCTGAATGTGTTAATTTATTTAATTCTGCAGATGATGCTAGAAATTTCAAAATAAACGTTGTAGATTATTTTGAGTAAAGTTGATAGAAAAAGAAAATAATTATCTGGAGTAAATAGTCTAAAGTTTAATGATGCGAGCGATTGTCAGTTTGATATTTACATGATTATGCCCTTTTTTTTGTAAAAGAAATTGTATTGAATTCTCATGACTTGGTTGTTCTGCAAGTCTGGAATACTTCAAAGTCTGTAAAAATAAATTTTAGCTGCTCCTATAAGATGCTCCATTATGCATAGCAATTCTCTATTTGCTGGTTTGCCATTGACTGTGTTTGATTTTTCTTGATA